AATGCTAGCTGGGGAATTCTGGGAGTTGAAGTCCACTCATCTTAAAGTGGCCAGGTTTGGACAACACTGCTCTATAGAGATCCTGGATTTATGTAAAGCACCTAACTAGAACACTTAAAATCTAGCTCCTATTGTAATACACCATGCTAAGCTTGGTTACGTTTACTTAGTTACTCTTAGTTTTCTCCCCCTTTTCCTTTAGTGGCTTAGCATGACTCCAACCTATGTAGCTAAGTTTATTGTTCAATATATTGTGCAAATCCGGAAAATGGGTTATCTTAGCAACCCCATTAAGCCAATTGTGCGAGCTCAGCCAGTTTATTCCTATATTCACAACATGTACATGCAAAGGCTCTGTGAAAAAGAGTTTGAACAAATTGGAGGTCAGCCAATGAAGAAGCAAAATTCTACACATCTCTCTTACACATGTGCAACCACTATCTGTCCCTTGCTTTGGTCAACTGAATAAATTGGTAAAAGATGAAGATTTAAGTATTTGCAAAATGGCTTGAAGATGTTGCAAGAGGACATTCCTGAGAATTGGATAAAAATTTTCTCACTATCAAAGACATAGCTACTTTTAGTGGAAGGCATGTCAGGAGAAACATAAAAGAAAATTGAATTGGTATAAATGGGGCTCTTGGAAATGTGTGTGGTAAACTAAGAAGAGAAATGAGTCAGGAATGAATGTGTGCTGAAATGAAAGTGGACTGAATACAAAAATGAGTAATCAGTACGAATGAAGTAGGTTGAGGTCATATAGAGAGAACGAAAAGAAATATATGAGGAAGAAAGAATGCATCTGGAGGAAGGAGAAGATGAAGACTGAGTTGATGAGATTCTCAGGAAGAGAGTTAGAAGTTTAAAGAACAAAGGACAAGGTGGGAATTGCTGTATGAACATGGGAGAAACAAGAATGGTTTGCAAGGATAGAAAGATATAAAGAGGTACCATGAATTTTGTTGGCATAAACTAGTTTCAGAGAGACAGTTTGGAGTGATGGTTAAGGCATCAGACTAGAAACCTGTAAAGCTGTGAGTTCTAATCCAGCTTTACACATGAAGCCAGTGGGGTGACCTTGGGCCAGTCCCTCCCTCTCAGCCCTAGGAAGGAGGAGGCAAGGGCAAACCACTTCCAAAAAAACTTGCAAAAAAGCTGTAGGGACTGGTCCATGCAGTTCCCAGGAGTCAAGACTGACTCGAAGGCGCAAACCACAAACTAGTTTTAGCTATGTTTCCTTTTCTTTCTCTTACCTCAGACCTTTAATTTCTTTGTCTCATTATTTATCCTTTTCTGTGCTTTGTGTAACATTGCTTCTGCTGAAAGGATACAGCCTGATGGGTCTGTATGTATGATGTGAGACGTATGCAAAAGATCCCATGATTAACAGGAAAGCTTATGTTAAACATGCTCTTCATTCCTTCACATGATCAACTAAAAGCTATCATTTAAAAAGAAAAGCTTTACCTTGTTATACAATGGCAAACCTTTTGGGCTCAGCATGTCAAAAATTCGGAAAATGCCTAACTTAACTCTGCTGGAATGTCACATACACACACCGCAAACAAAAGAGAAACAATTCTTTACATATTCATTTATTTAAAAAAAATACAGTCCAATCACATGTGGTGCTATGTATTATATCGGAAAATGCCTAACTTAACTCTGCTGGAATGTCACATACACATCGGAAAATGCCTAACTTAACTCTGCTGGAATGTCACATACACACACCGCAAACAAAAGAGAAACAATTCTTTACATATTCATTTATTTAAAAAAAATACAGTCCAATCACATGTGGTGCTATGTATTATATAAAGAAACGTCAAATAATTACAAAAATGAAATACGGGTAAAACAAACTCAGTTTCTTTGGTAACTCAAACATGGAGGATAGTTGTTGGCAGGTGTTGGTGAACACTGGCCTGTCACCCAAAACATCGTGGCGTGTCACCTTTGACACTTGTGTCATAGGTTCTCCATCACTGGGCTAAACTCTGTTGTTACAACTACTTTTTAATAGGATGAAAATGTAGGCGTGGGCGGGGAATGTTTATGAAAGAGACGTTCTCAAGGATAGAAGCGAGCAAAGTGATTGGTTGCCAGGAACAGAAGCCAGAGCGAGTAATTCCATTGTGTCAGATTCAGCTCTACAAACAGTTCAGACATTAAGGATGAGATTCAGTCTCAGCAGAGGCTTGGCACAGAGTAACAGCAGGCAAGCGGGCAGAAGCTCCTTGAGAAGGATGACGGAGGAGGTCATGATGCCCGTAGGAATGCAGGCGCCGGTTCCTAGAAGAAAGGTGCCTGGTCAAAGTAAGAAGGAAGCTGCTAATTTCACCATGAAGTCAGCTATGGTAGCAGACGCAATGCAAAATAAGAGAAGCCTGATTCCTTGGAAATCCATTGATTCCCTGCCCAGCATCTCAGGGCTTCTTATTGAAGCGATTGCATCCTGTAAGTCAGACAATGGCCTCAGTTTTGCAGAGCTGAAAGAAGTGCTCAGTGCAAAGGGATATGATGTGAGGAGGCATTCTCCTAGAATTAAGAGGAAACTACAGTCCCTGGTGTCCAAAGGTGCCCTGGTGCGTATGACGTGTGGCAATGGCTCAAGTTTTTTTGTAGTCAGAAAGTACCAGGAAAGGGCCACCGAGATATCTGAAGACTTGGAGAAAGCTGTCAGAATAAAGAAGGCAGCAGTGGGTGCTCCCGCAAAGACAAAGGGAACAGCTGAAGAAGCAAAGAGATCTAGCTGGAAGGCTGGAGAAGCTAGCAGGAAGCTCCAGAGAACCAGTCAGAAACTAAAGGCAGGAGAAAAGCAATCAAGGAGATCCATCAGCCAAAGTAGATCTGCTGAAAGAACACCGAATCTCTGTCAACGAGCCCTTTCTGCTGCCAAAAAATCAAGTTCTGCTGGTAGCAAAACTGCTGCTGCTTTTCGAGAATCACACCACTCCAACCAGGGATCCGTTTCTGCTTTAAAGAGATCCAGCAGAAACCGCAAGAATAGAACGACATCTTTTCTCAAGATGGTCCAAGGTCCTCTTGACAAAAGAGCTCCTAAAAGATATAGGCCTTCAAAGAGAGGGCTTCCTCCTCCAGTGAAAGAGCAAGTCAGCCCCTACTACAAGGGCAACCTCCTTGCGAAGCAAAAAGCCTATTGTAGAGGGGTGAAGACCTACTCCGCTAAACGACGAAGAAGTCGTCGCCGGAGCAGAGCTGCGTTTCACTCCCCAAGGGGGACCTCATCCAATTCGGAAAGGGTCCTGAGAAGATAACAGAACTAAACCTCAAGAATGGAGGCCTTCAAAGGCAAATGTCTTCCTTGTATCTGTTAGAACCACAGGAACATTCAATAAAGGTAACTAAGGCCCCAGCTACCATTCACAATGGATGATTTCATAACCACAAGCTAGGCTCTGTAATTTGGGGGATAGGCAAAGCGGCCTACAACAGGTGTCTTAAAATCTATATTTCATTTACATACGTTTAGGAGCTACTTAAAAGAAAGTGTTAGCCTCTAGCCATCTGCATTCTTCTGCTCCATTTGGAATCTTGAGTTCTGCCACACAGTGGTGAATTCCCTTTGTAAACTCCTCCCAGCATCCTTTAAGCCAAACCACAGTTCTTGTACTTGCCCTCACCATCCAGAAATACCATGAGTTTGCAGGCCCTTCAGCTATAGTAGCGGAGCAGCCAATCAGGGCTCGCTCACTCTCTTTCAATTTTGTTCCTGATTTCATGACCCTCCCCTCCAGAGTCTCTGATGCTCTGAAACACAAAAGCAAAGTCATTGTGTTATTCTGGAAAGCCCCATGGACTGTTATCCCAACAAATCCTGCTTGTGTCACATGCCTGACAAATTGCAGCCATTCTGAGGGCTCTATCCAAGCTGGGCAGCATGAAATAGAGATGGGGGTGGGAGGCAGGGGCCATGGCAGAAACTGAAAAGTGAATAAAGTTGGTGGCTCATGAATTTATTCTGTGGCAGAAGTGGGGAGCAGTTTTAAAGATGTGGCATGGAAGCACGTACTTTTAGGGTCTCATTCTAACGTGCTGTCATTTGCTTTGCTGTCAAATGTATGCAGGAGGCGAGTGTGTACAGTTACAGACGTGGGGTGAAATTGTTTGGTAGGACACACTGTTAGGAAAGAAAGATACATACCTGCAATCCAAGAACTTTCCTTGAAGCCCTTCCAAGACACCCAAGAGGAGCAGGGAGAGAAAAAAAATCTGGATCCTGTAACTATTTGTTCAATGGGAGGCTTTGGGGGGGAAACTCATTGGATGGGAGAAGCAAGCAGGAAAATTGGGGCTTGGGTGATGGAAAAATTGCAGAGAACAATGGAAAGATTTAGATAAACCATGCGGGAAAAAAAGGGGGAGGAATCTGTGTGTTTGGGTATAGAATGCGTGGTGATTGCATGTTTATTGTGAGAAAGTGATCATGAACAAAATAGGGTATCTCAGTGTAAAACAATGCAGAGGATCCTAAATTCAGTTCCCTAAAAAAAAAAATCCTGACTGTGACACTGGAGAAGTGTGGCTGGAAAGAGATTCGGTTCATGTATTTCATGAGCCAATATTTGCCTAATTGTGGTTTATTGAATAAACCATGGTTTGTTGGGTTTGAATGACACACTAATTCATAAGCTGTGGATTGTAACTATAATGGCTGGGTTCACACAATATGCTAAGCCAAGCCTAAACCACTTTTTGCTTACTAAATTCAAACAGTTTTCATAATATAGTACATGGCTGTCTGGAGTGACAAAATTCTGTTTCTCAACCTTGGCAACTTCCAGATGTGGACACTTAACTCCCTGAATTTTCATGGCACAAACACTGATAGAAGACATTTTCCTCTGTTCCTGGGAATGACTCAGATGAGCAGATCTTTCTTGATAGGAACATGGGATAAGACTGCTTTCCTTGTATAGGGTGAACAGTGGGTTTGTAAAATGATTTTAAATTAGAGAGATAACAGGGGGCTTAAAAGGAATGGTTTTTGTTCTGACAAGACATCAGACCCCTACCTTTATTCTGGTTTGGGGACAAAATCTTTGTCTTCTGTAGCCTCACTACTTTGCCTTGCTGTACAGTGGGTGTTTTGGGTCTGACCAAACCTTCCAGAGCAACTTCATTAATTAAGTTCTGGATTAAAATCAACAATCAACATAATTTATGGCCCTACTCAGGTGGGCCTGGGGTATGATGGAACAACACTTTCACCTTCTACTACGAAACACACACAAACATACACCCCCCTCCTCCCAAGACTTGAGCTTTTGTTCAGACATTGTATTTTGGGTGCCACTGTCATCCAAAATCTATGAAAAGCAGTATCTTCCTAGTGGTGATACCTGCCTCACATCGTTCCCTTGTGAAGTGTTTTAGACCATCTGAGAAAAAAGGGAAAGTCCATCATAAATGTTCCCGAAAAGGTATGGAGCACTGGGCAGCTCAACATGGGAAGGACTGAGGAAGCTCCACTGGGATATTGTCAACTCTTTGAAGTAGGCCAGGTCAGGAAACAAACACTACAAGGATTACAGGAGTGCTACTCTATCATTGCAGGGTATAATAACAGGGTAGGGTACAGTGGGGCAAAAAAGTATTTAGTCAGCCACCAATTGTGCAAGTTCTCCCACTTAAAAAGATGAGAGAGGCCT